CCTGTAAATCACCTGTTAGGCCTGGAGCTGAACCCAGTCTAAAGAAACAAACAATTCATTGCCATCAGGTCAATTCCTACTCATGGTGAGGGAAACCAGAACATTAGAGAGGTGTACACAACTTAGAATAATGTACCGGGAGTCCAGGGCGGAGGAGCCCTACAGGACCAGTGGTGTGAGTGGCAAAACAGGGAGGGTAAAGGGAGAATGGGTAGGAAAGCACCGTGTAGGCGTGTCCCTGAGAGTCCCGGCCGCTGCACAACTGGAAGGAGGGGCACAGAGAGATCAGCGCTGAGTCGGGTATTGGGCTCAGCAACTGCTAATGATATTTACATGAATGATATTGTGCAAGCATTCCTAAGATGACTAATGCATTCAGGTGAATAGTGGCATTTGTTCTCTTGTCACAGGCCAGTAATACTTATTCGTCATTCTTGCTATTATAACGCCTCTGTAAGGCTTCTACAATGTTCTGACGATTTTTGAGCACTTTGCTTTTTGCGGTGGAACAACTATCCTCATAGCGAAGGTTGGAGTCCCGGTTTTTCCAGTGGCTTCCTGTATGTACTCTCAACTCCTCTTCCCGAGTGGATGAGAAGGGGAGATCATCAGTAAGTATATTTGAGCGTGTATCACCAACATCCATTGAAAAGTATGATTTTATAGCAGATTATAAAGGCAATCATTTTAACACGGTTGTGGTGGCGCCTTCAAGTTGATTCTGACCCACAGTGAGGGCCGGTTGCCATCCTCCCAATTGTATGTTGGGGCTCATGGTGGCATCATGGTGGCATCATCAGGCCATCTCCTTGAGGGTTTTCCTCTTTTTTTGGGCTGACTTATTCTCCAACATGATGTTCTTTTCCAGAGACTGGTCTCTCCTGACAACATGTCCACATGTTGAGACTTCTAAAGAGAATTCCTGTACTCCTTCCATGATATATTGGTTCTTCTGGCAGTCCATGATACTTACAATATTCTTTACCAGCACCAGAATCCAAATGCACCCCTTCTTTTTTGGTCTTCCTTATTCATGGTCCAGCTCTCACCTGCATAGGAGGTGAAATAAGGAACCCTGAAAATACCATGAGTCGGGGGAGTCTTAATCTGCCAGTGTTATCTTTGTTCTTTAACATCTTAAAGAGGTCTTGTACAACAGATTTGCCTGGTGCACTCTTTGCTTAATTTCTGGACTGCTGCTTCCAGAGCATGTAGATACAAGCAAGATAAAATCCTTGACAGCTTCAATATTTTCTCCACTTATGATGATATTGTCTATTGATCTATTTGAGGGTTGTTGTTTTTTTACATTGAGTTGTAATCTATACTGAAGGCTGCAGTCCTTGATCTTCATCAATTTGATAGGTAGTTTTATTGTGCCAACCTGGCCAATAGGAACATGGGGGATTAATCGGGTCACAGATTGATTGGAGTGCCAACAGATAAATGGCTCTGCAAGGCCTGCCCCGCTCTCTCTTGCTCTCTGGTGATCAGAGCGTGCTGCTGCCATAGTTGGTTTTCTGCCTCAGCCTGTGAGTTATACTACCTGTTGGCCAGGCCAATCTGTGGATCTTGTCGCTAGAGCTTGAGGCTCCTTTCAAGACCTGTTTTGCCTTGCTCCTGGTGTGTACATCACTTGAGCTTGAGGCTGGTGGAATCTGTGGTCTTGCATTGCTTGCGTTTGATATCCCATCCAGGCCTGTTTTGCTAAGCTCCTGAGCTACTGTCCGTTGGTGACCCACCCTGCTGCCTGTGGGCAGACTCTGCCTGCCTTGCCCCAGGAAGGACGCTGCTGTCTGCTTCCTTGACTTGGACCTGGCAGCCCACATGAGTTGAAGGATTTCCAGTATATTAACTGTTCCACAGAAGTGAGTTGAACTGAACCCTCTGTACTGCTGTGTGGATTAATTAGCTGTTATATTCCTTCTCACTGTATAAACCTATTATATATATATATAAAATCATAAGTGTCCCGGTTTTGTTTCTCTGGAGAACCCTGCCTAACACAATCAACAGGCGCTACAAGTCTTCATGCTTTCAGCAGCCAAGGTTAGGTCATCTGTATGTCACTGGTTGTTAATGAGCTTCTTCTGCTCCTGAGCCTTTCTCCTTCATAGAGTCCAGCGACTTGGAATATCTGCTCAGCACACGAAACGATTAAGT